TACTACTACTACTACTACTACTACTACTACTACTACTACTACTACTAGATGCTAGGGAGCATCTAGCCCATACCCAAGTGATGAGATTGTGGCTTGGATGTAGATGGGGTTATTACTTTTCTATAATAGTCCCTAAATGGTTGTCTCAATTTTTTTCTCCATCAAGTGGAGAATTTACCCCATGTTTGGGGCTAAATTCCTGCTTGTAACCTGCACCACTCTATAGCCCAGTTTACAGTCTGGTCCTAAGTTAATCACTTCATCTGGGCTGTCCAGGCCTCCAGAGGACACTGTTCTAACCATTACGGATCTCACTTTGTGGACATCAATGTGTCCAGAGAGAAGGCTTCAGCCAGCCTGGCACTGAGCTGCCTTGGTAGTACCAGCACATGGCACAGAGCTGTCTCTGGCAGGGGAGTACAAGGCTCTCCTGGGGCTGCCTGAGGAGGAAGTTCAGTCTTGTTACTCTCTGGGAGCAGAACAATTCCACTGGGATAAAAGGGAGAAGATTGGCTCTTAGGGAAAGGATATTAGGGGAAGAAGGATGGGCCCCTTCCCAGCCCAGAAGGTTTTCTTGGATTCTCTCAGATGACTCTGTAGAAACTTTATAGCCAGATCCCATATCCCACCTGAAGATGGAAACGGGTAATTCATCCCCATGAGCTGCTAACCAATTGCCACCCACAGAGCAGGCTGAAGGAGCAAAGTACCCCGAGGGAGACAATGTGTGTCAGGGGAGTCAAACTACCACCGTCACTTTGACCTCCATTTCCCCTCAGACCTTGATGGAGACAGGCTAGGATCCCAAACCCCAAAGCTTTGGCAGTAGCCGTGCTCCCAGCCCAGCGCCTACAGCCATTATCCTGGAAAACAGCTGCTGTGGAGAGACAGCCTGGCCACTGCTCCTGCAGGTGCTGTGGCCACAACTAAGGAAGATTCAGAAGAGACAGTTCTCTCCACAGGTCTTTGATGCTGGTCAGATGGTTGAACATCAGAAAGGGATGTAATTTTTATCAGTGGAAATGTCGTTAAAAAAGAAGCATTAACATCTGCTTTGCTGATGAACTCTAAGGGCCATGGGACATTTCCATCTGACTCACAGCTGAAACCTCCCTAATTAGAATGTAAGCTTCGTGTTACTCTTCTATTTGTATCCCCAACCCTTAGCCCAGTGCTTTGTATATAGTAAGCACTTAAGATATTCTTCGTTCATTCATTCATTCATTCATTCATTCATTCATTCATCTGAAGGCAATGTGGGGGAAGGCAGGATTCTGGGCAAGAACTTGATCTCCTGGCTCTTTATCATTGGGGCTGGGGGAGGTATAGCAGAGGTCCCAAGACTGAGAATTGGGGAAAGATGCCCCATGTTGGCTGCACCCTATTAGAAAGGAAAAGCTGAAATGAGCTTCCTTGCCCAAGTTATTTGAGGGGGACTGGAGTTGCCTACCAATGGCCTCCACAATCAGGGTGTACGCTGCTGTGGTCTCTCTATCCAGGTTCACCACCGTCCTGACCACGCCATCTCGATAGCCGATCCTGAATTTACCATCGATGTTTCCTCCTGCAGGTAAAAGAGGATGAAGTTCTTTAGAGATAGACCAGAAAAGAGCCCGCCAAAGGCAATGGATTCCCAAGAGAGAAGCCCTTTCTTGAGGGTAGACATTTTTAACCATTTTTGTGTCCTGAAACCTTTGGGCAGTCTGGTACTAAGCCTATGGAATCCATTTCTGAATCATGTTTTAAATGCATAAGATAAAATACAGAGGATTATGAAGGAAATTAAAGTTAGTGAAAATAAAGATTTACTTTTTTCTTTCATTCCCCTCCCCCCAGTCTATCCATGGACTCAAGGTCAAGAACCTGTGCTCTACGGAAAATGAGCGTGAGAGATATGTGGCCCCAGATCTGAGCAGGACCTGGCGATAGGTTCAATGGCAGCACGGGCTATAGAGTTTCTAAGACGATGCTTGTGAAAACATTTGATCAAGTGCCATGGGAATATGAGGAAAGGCTACAGTTATTTTGCCAGTCTTAATTTAAGCTTCCAGAGCAGAGCTCATTCAGGGCGTGGCTCACATGGTTGGGTTAGATGCACAGTTGGGGGAGGGAGTGAGCCCAAATTTCAATGAACATGGCAGCATGCATTCATTAAATGTTAATTAGTACCAGGCATTGCACTGAGTGCTGACGATACAAAGACAGGATGAAAAATAGCCTCTGTCCTCAAGGAGCTTATAATCTATTTTGGGGATACAACGTTCACACAGATAAGTAAATATAATTTGAGTGAAGAGAGAGTCCTAACACCTGGGAGGATCTGGAAAGGCTTCCTTGGGCTTGAGTTGAGCCTTGAAGTAAACTAAGGGTTTTAATAGGCTGAGATGAGGAAGGGGAGCATTCCAAGAATGGGGGACAACCTCTCCCAAAGTGGGAGATGCAATGCTGAGTTCAGGGAAGAGCAAGAAGGCCTGTTTGATTGGGGCATGTGGTGAATGGAGGGCAATGTGAAATAAGTCTGGAAAAGTAGGCTAAGGAGAGAGTGTGAAGGGTCAAGCTAATGAGTGTGAATTTTATCCAGAAAGTAAGAGACACTTATGGGATTCTTGAGCTTTGTATTGTGTCTGAGATATTAAAACAATAGATTATTAGAGATGAAAAACTTGGTAACTCACAATATAGAATGATAATGATGGAAGGAACTGTAGAATGTGCAATATATGTGTTAGAACTGGAGAGGTCCTTAGAAATGGTCAAGTCTAATTTCCTTATTTTACCTGAGAAAACAGACCCAGAAAGTAGAAATGATTAGCATGAATTTTTATGGTTGAAGCAGAACTAGAACTCAGGGCCTCAAGTTAATTCAATTTAGCAACAACAAAAATTTATTAAGTGCCTACAACAGCTGGGGGGGGGATAGTACCTGGGCAACTAGGTGGCACAGTGGATAGAGTGCTGGTCCTGGAGTCAGGAGGACCTGAGTTCAAATCTGGCCTCAGGGCAAGTCATTTAACTCTGTTTGCCTCAGTTTCCTCATCTGTAAAATAAGCTGGAGAAGGAAATGGCAAACCACTCCAGTATCTTTGCCAAGAAAACCCCAAATGGAGTCAGGAAGAGTTGATTGAAATGATTGAACAACAGAAAGGGCACTATGGAGATAACAAAGGTGAAAACAACATAGTCCCTGCCCTCAAAGAGCTTACTATCGAGTAGGGAGATAAGGCAAGGGCACAAATGACAGTTATAAGGTAAAATGTGATGATGCAAAGGGCAAAGTTTGAGTGACTTGGAGAGGGAGGAATTATTTCCAGCTGAAGGGTGGGTGGGGCAAGAAAAGATTTATGGAGAAGACTGGAGGGCTAGTTAGCCAACTAGTATTTATTAATGTGCCTGAAATAGGCCTTGAAAAAAATAGAATTTCAACAGCTTAAAATGTGGAGGGATTGCATTCTAGGCTTGGGGGATGTTGACTGTGAATGGCCACCATGATTGAGGGAAGGAGAGCAGCCCAGTATGACTGGAGAGGTAGAAAAGGTTCCAAGTCCTGCTCCAGTGCCCTTCCTGTTGCCTGATTCCCATAAGCCTGAATTGCTCAATCAAAAGCATATTAAATGCCCCTAGAAGCAAGATTGAATAGTGGGGATGAATGGAGGTGGATGGGAAAGGGGTGCAATCTAAGTGCTAGGAATGGAGGCCCAAGAATGAGGGGCAGGAAGAGGGGCCCAGAGATAGCAGAGTCCTCTTGGGCTATGAAGAAAAAGACCCCAACAAGCTACCCTCTGTCACTAAGGGGCCAAGCATTTGGTCAAGGCAGAGAGGGGACATACTGGAGAAAAGGAGAAAATGGCCTCATTAGTGGGTCCCTCTGGCTCTTTGCTCTCCACAATGGCCCTGCTACTTACTGCCTGTGCCCTCAATGGCCACTTCTTTCCCTTCTTGGGGCCTCAATCTCCTCCTCTGTAAAAATGAGGGTATTGAAAGAGAGTGATCTTTAAGGTCTGGTCCATTGGGATTAAGACATGATCAAGGGGTAGATGGTATGCTGGATTCTGGGCAGCAGAGGGCGCCAAAGTACAAGTTTTACCCTCTTTGAAAGCACCTCTCATGAGCATCTCTCAATCGGAGTATTTTTCACCGAATCCTGGTATGATACAACCCGAGGGCTAGAAGAGATCTTACAGAGTCAGTTAGGCCTCTGCTCCTCATAATGAGTGTTAGGACACTTTGGGGGTATCGTGGAGACCTAGATTCATGAACCATTAGAGCTGGAGTTTATCTGCTCCAACTGGCCATCGCATGAATGAGAATCAGACTCTAGAACCCAAGAATCTTGACTCCTTAATCACAACATCATATTATCAGACATCATCAGGACAGCCTTATGCATAAGTGAAGTAGGCAATCACCTTCATGATGATCTCTGGGAGAAAGTACATGGTGACAAATTCATACTATGGTGTAACTAATATCTCCCCTCTTCAAATTTTCCTACAGAACTTTGACTCTTTCCTAGTCTGTAAACTCCTTGAGACCAGGAACTGTTTTTTCCTTTTCTTTGTATCCCTAGAGCTTAGCACAATGTTTGGCGCATAGTGGGTGCTTAATTAATGCTTGCTGACTGATTTTGTCCTATCACGTCCTACTTTGTATCATCTCTTTTAGTAGATTACACACCTCTTGAGGACAGGGGCTGTATCATTTCCCAGCTTTCTATCTCCACATATTAGTACTGTGCACTTACCATAAATGCTTATTGAATTAAATTGAAATGAGTAAGTGCAGATCTATAACTTTCTGAGAACAAGTCTTATCAAAGGGGAGAGAAGAGTTCACAAGGTGGTGGGCACTTGGAAGGGAGGGTAGATGCATCATACCATGATAATGGGAGAAGGCTACAGAAAAGAGCTGGGGGAAGTGAAGACAAGCTTTGCAATTTTATTGAGGTCTGATGTCGTATAACTCCTTATTCTCTCCTGCCAATCTGTGACTTAGGAGAAGTGAGGTGGAAGGTAGAAGAGGTGGTGATTATGTTGGGGAGGAGTGAGGAAGGTGGGCACGTGGGCATATACATCAAGGACACAGGATGCACAAATGACTAGATAAATGTAAAGGTAGATGGACTAGGCAAGGTTGAATGTGGGGGATGGATTTAATACTTCTCCTCCCCCTTTGTGGACTATTACATTCACAGACTTAAAAAATGGTGGGAAGCATTATGCTAAGGCGGGGCTCAGTGGGACCTTTATAGATGGGTAAGAGTTTGTCAGGGACCTTTCATAGATCAAAAGGACCCTGAGGTGCAGACGCCATTTTGTGAAACCTCATTTTTCTCAAGTAGTCTTTCCACTTTTGCTCGGAGACCTGTAGCGAGGGCAAATTCTACCATCTCCTGAAGCAGTCTATTGCACTTTGGGAGAATATTAATTGTTAGGAAGTTTCTCCTTCTCCTGAGCTGGACTCAACTTCTCTGCAGCTTCCAGGTCATTGGGCTGCTTCTTCCCTCTTGGGTCAAGCAAAGCAAGTCTACTCTGTGTTCTATGTGACATTCATTCAGATAGTTGAAGACAGCTAATGGGTCTCCCCCAGAATTCTTTTCTAGACTAAACACCCCAAGCTCCTTCAACCCATCCTAGGGTCTGATCTTCAGGCTCTTCACCATCATGGTTGACCTCCTCTGTCCTTCTAAAAGGATGGCCCCTACAATGGATCAGACTCCTCGTCCTTCTAAAAGGATGGCCCCTACAATTGATCAGACTCCTCTGGGTGGGCTCTAACTGTGGCAGAGTACAGTAGGATTATCACGGCTCCCACTGTGAACCTTATTCCTTTCTCAATGTAGTCCAAAATGGATTATTAGCTTTTTGAGTTACCATGTCAACCTGTTGACTCACAGTGAGTTCCATTCTGCTAAACCCCTCTGGGGCCCTTCTCACCTAAAGGTGTTGTCTAGCCATATCTTCCCCATTCAGAATCTGTGAAGGATGACTTTTTGAGCCCAAATATATCCTATATTTATCCCTATTAAATCTCATCTTATTTAGAAGAGGCCCATTATTCCATCCTGTTGAGATCTTTTTGGCTCCTAATTCTGACCTAATTTGGGATCCCAATTCTGTGGGCCAATGTGTCAGCCGCCCCTCCCAGCTTTGTGTCACTCAGGTATTTGATAAACATGGTAAGGTTTCCAACTTCTTTTCAGTCATCACTTCAGACTGCTGCCTTTACAGCAACCACTGGTTTTATGGACTTGGATACTGTTCGATCCCACCTCAGAAACATCTCTTGTTTCTATCCCCTTCCCTCTCCTCACACAGCCACCGTTTGAATATGGGCACTCAGCCCTTCTCCCCAGCCTATTATGCCACCAGGCTCTCCCCTCTCCAATCCACCTTCCACACAACCGCCCAAACCAAGTGACCAAATTAAAACTCCTTTTGGTGCATAAAATCCTCCCCAGCCTGGCTCCATCCTGCTTCTCCAGCTCTAACAGACATGACTTCCCTTCATATGCCGGTCAAACTGACCTCCTCATCTTTCCTCACACATAACATCGGCTCTCTCACGTCTGTGCCTTTCTTGGCACAGGCTGTCTGTCCCCAAGGCCTCCAGTGCACATACTGACCATCTCTACCCCCTGGAATTCCTGACTTCTCTCAAAACCCAGCTCAACACTGCCTCCCCCCCACCAGCTGCTAGCGCATCTCTTGCCTGTGAAGTTATCTCTTACTCACTTCGCACAGATTTAGTATAAGATCATTGGGGTGCATTTTGTTCCTCCCAAGAGAATGGGAGCAGGATTGTTTTGTTTGGGACTGACTGTATCCCTGGTGCTTAGCACAGTGCCTGACACGTAGTAGGTGCTTAAGAAATAATCATCACTTCAGGAGTCACTCACTCACTCTCTTGCCTTCTTGCCCTGCTGATACTAAACCTAGGCAACAGAGGAGGAGGAGGAGAAAGGGGAAAGGGAAGGTGGAGGGGGATGGGGACGGGGAGGGGGAAGAAGGAGGAGGAGGAGGAGAAGTATCAGCAGCAGCAGCAGCAGTAGTAGTAGAAGAGGAGGAGGAGAGGTTTTGAAAAAATATTTTGATAACTGTATTTCAATATAATTGTTTCCTTTTGTCATTCTATCCATTTTATTTTATGCACTTAAAAACATGATTCTGGGAAAGGGTCCACAGGCTTTATCAGACACTGCCCAAAGTGTCCATGGCCCTAAAGCAGCTCTGATTTAGTGCTTTCAGACTTGCAAAGCGTTATATGCGAGCCAGGGACTGGACCCTCGCTTTAAGTAGAGTGGACTGCTGGGCTCCAGAAACTCCCTTCACTAATGAAGGCCAGGCCTTTCCTTGCACCTTAATAGACTTAGAGTTGCTTAGAGCACCGAGGAGTTTAGTGAATTACCCAGGGTCACACAGTCAGAGTGTGTGTGTGGGGCAGAGGGAGGGTTTTGAACCCTGGTCTTCTGGACTTGTTGGCCAGCTCTCTCTAGCCACTGGTTGGCACTGCTTCTCCTGATTGGGGCTATCTCAGAATCCTTCCCTGCTCAAGCAGGTTCTGAAAGAGCCCAAAGGGAATCAGCTTCAGGCCAGAGAAGTACCAGTCAATCAGGCAAGAATGAATCCTTTGGAAAGCACCAGGAGAGATCAAGACCCATATTCTGATCTATAGCTATAAACAGGTAAGTTATATATGACACATACACATGTATGGGCAGAACCACCATCACATTAAACTTATTTGTGCTATGTCGCATACATGTTTATGCATACGCGTACATGTTTAGGTGTGCATGCACGTATGTACATGCACACACATGTTTGTATGTATACATGCATGCATGTGTATATGTGTATATATACACGCATGTATGTATATATGTGTGTCTGCATGTAAATCCCAAGTGAAACAACAGTAAGTTACAAAACCCAATGAGAGATATTTCTGATTTAAAAGTTTTAGCCCCTCTCAAATTCTCTGGACATTATCTAGTCCCTCAAAGGGTACTAAAGGGCCTAGGGAGGGGATGGATATAGGGCAGAGGAGCCAGTGAGAGGAGAGAGCCAGAACCTGTGATAAAGTAACTGAGCTCAGCGTTGAGTCCCACATCATTGTCTGTGCAGTTTAGCCAGACCACTCGGAAATCTCGGGGGATGTCCTCCAGCAGGGAGACATTGTACGCGGCTGGGAAGAAGGTAGGGGTCTCATCATTCACATCCAGTACTAGAGAGAAGACACAGAGAGAAGACAGGGTTTGGTTTTATAACACAGCTTTCTGCAGGAATTTTGTACTGAGGCCTCAGAAATAGTCATGGGGAACACACAAGTGGAGGGGAAGACTATTCCTGCTCCTTCTTCCCACCAATATCACCATCTGGCTGAACCATTGGCATTGGGCTAGGCTGAGGATTTGAATTGATTGTTTCACTGGTGCTGGCTGACCCAACGCTCCTGGAGGCCCAGCTAGATAGTGACGGGAGATGTGGGGATGCTGAAGGATGCTGGACCCTGACTCAACAGGAGAAGGTCACAGGATACTCATTTTACAGAAGACAATCCTAAGACACAGAGCAGTTAGTGATATACCCAAGGTCACACAGCTAAGTGTCAACTGAGTCCTAATGGATATGGTAACATCAGAGTTATCCCTCTCGTTGCCAACGAGACTGGGACACTCTCTGTGGGTCACCGAAGGATCTGTAGTAGGAAGGCCTAGTTTTTATTTTCCTTGAGTTAAAGATTATGTACAAAGCATCTTTAAGACCCCAGCATGACTCTGCCATTCCTTAACTCCCCTAAGCTCCTTTTCAAGAGCTCTGTCTACCACAAGCTTCTCCTTTGACATAGAAAGGATCTTGGGGATCTTCTTATCAAAACCTCTCAACTCACCAATAAAAGGCACAGATATCACAGATATAGGGAAGGCACAATGAAACGTCCAGTGACTGTTCTTAGGCCCTAGGACCCTGACTCCTCATGCGATTCCCTTGCTGATGTCTGGGCAGGGTGGGGCAAGCTCCATCAGGTAGACCAAGGATTCCCACTCTTTTTCAACTCCTGTACACCTTGTTATTCAGTGAACCTTTCTCAAACCAACTATTCAGTATGAAAAGAAATAAAATCTAGTGTTTACCATGCATTACCACTCATAAGAACTAACATGGATTAAATTATTTTAATAGGGTAGTATTAATTATTTTTTTCCTTAAAATTTTACCAAATACTAATATTTATCAAATATTTCCTGTGGCTCTTCATAAAAATTTCTACTCCCTAGGGGTATACATACTCTAGGTTGGGTAACCAAACAAATTCCTGTGATGCCAGGTGCCTAGGGAGTGGGCCGATCACAGAGAGAGGCAGGGTGGACTTGGGGCTTAGCAGCTAACTAGTGTGGCTTCCCTTGAGCCCAGAGGGACCATGAACCATGTGTGTAGAGGTTCAAGAGAGGGAAAGCTCTCTATTTGCCTTTTTCCAGGGATGGGAGCTAGAGCAATGATTTAAGGCCTTAGAAACTCTGACAGTGGACTAGCTCCTAGAGATGGACCTGAAAGGACCCTGGGACAGGCATGCCACTTGCTGCAAATGCCTACTCTCTTGACCCCATTCCAGTATGGATGGACAGTGATGTCTTGACTCACCTCGAATGGTGAGCGTGCTGGTGGAGCTCTTCGTGGGAGTGCCGGCGTCGCTAGCCACCACCCTAAGGTAGTACTCTGCTATGTGCTCACGATCCAGCTCAGTGGTGGTAGTCACCACACCACTGCTGCTGTTGATGACGAAGTCCATGCGGGGCATGCCCACCTGCATGCGGTATGTCACCAGCCCATTCAAGCCTTCATCCAGGTCAATGGCCACCACCTGGTAAGAAGAACAGCTGGACATGAGTGTTGAGAGTACGGCCCCCAGGATCAGAGCCTCTGCTGTCCAGAGGTCACTAATGCTTCCTCTAGATTTTTGGGCTGCTCCATTTATACTCAAATGAAGACTTTTGGTTCCTTCCCAACCTTGACTCCTAGCTCTTAATATTCCCTGATTCAGACCCAACTCCAGTCAGGCAAACTAACTACAGCAGGAAGGAAAGCAGCATTGTCAATTAATTCCCAGATCCACTCTCTCCAGGGCTTTCTTTAGTTTGTGAACATCATTGGTGGGGGGCTGGGGACTGTCTGTTAAAAGAGAAGGGATTAGAGAGAGGTAGCTCCCACACACAATATAAGGAAAGCTGGCAGCGTGGAGCACTTGTTTAAAATAAATGCACATGTTGTTGAGGCCACACATTTTCTCTCTCCAAGGTACCTATTTTGTGCCGTGATTCAATTTGAGTCGATTCAAGCAATATTTATCATTTTGTGCAAAGTACAGCGCCCTGAGGAGGGAGAAAGAGCGCCAACAACTTGGTAGTGGTGATGGAATGGGGGAGAAATTGGGGGGGTGTCAAATGGGGGGGTGATGGCTGGACGGAACCTAAAGGAAGGTAAGGAACCTGAGGGGCAGAGCTGAGGGGAGAGTTTACCCCAGGAAAGGGACACAGAAGGTGGGGACAGAGATGGAAGAGAAATGCTGAGTTTGGGGAGCATCTAGTCATCCAGTGTGGTTGGGTCTGATAAAGTTGTATCTTCACTAGGGTCTGACGCCTCAGTGTAGGGAGTGGGAGGTGACCCTGAGTGGATTCTCAGAGACTAAGGCAGCCCTGTACACAGGCTTCTGCTGAGCTGGTAACACCTTGAGGATGGCTTTGGGGCAGACTGTTGTCTGGAGACCTGCTTAGCTAAGTGGGGGGAGGCTTATAATCAGGTAATGATTCTTTTGGCCAAAGACTTCTACTAAGGATTGCAATCTATACTGGTGGAGGGAAAATCACCTCAATGAAATACTAGATGTTTTTAAGTGAAGTTAAGTCAAATTGCAAATGTCACTTTGAACCCATAATGTCTCTGCTGGTCTGTAACATGGGGCAGGGGAGGCAATTTTCTTTCTTTCTTTTTTTTTTAGAATATTTTTAACAATATTTTTTCTTTTTAATTGTAATTATGAACTCGACAACATCAATAAACATCAACATTTCCATATTTAAAGGAGTAAAGAAAAAGAGGATTATATATGAAACCATAAATCTCTATTACATACAGCTTTTTTCTTTTTTTTTTTAACCTAGAGGCAGCTAGGTTATGCAGTAGATAGAGTACTGGACTTGGAATCAGGAAGACCTGAGTATGAATCTTTTTTTTTATAATTCTATTTTTATTTTATTTATTTGTTTACTTTGCTAGGCAATGGGGTTGAGTGATTTGCCCAGGGTCACACAGCCAGTAAGTGTCAAGTGTCTGAGGCCGGATTTGAACTCTGGTCCTCCTGACTCCAGGGCCAGTCCTCTATCCATTGTGCCACCTAGCTACCCCCTCTGAGTGTGAATCTTGCCTGAGATACTTACTAGTCATGTGACCTGAGCACGGCTCGATTTCCTCATCTGTGAAATGGGGAGAACAATATCACCCACCTCCCAGGGTTAATATTAGGATAAAATAACATGTAAAGTGCTATATATTTTATTTAAAGTATATATTAAATTTAAACCCAGCAGTTTCAACACTGTCCTGCTCATCTGTGTCCCCTTCTGAACATCCAGGGCCCAATTTTCAAGGACACACAAATGTACCGTCTAGGCTCCTTGGCAGCTGCCATCATCTGCCTCATCTCTGGCAGCTCCTGGCTGTCCCCAAGGCCCTCATGTCCAGTCTAGGGCAGCACCCTTTCCAGCCTTTGTATGAGACAAATTAGGGCTTATGATATGTTTTTTTTGGATATTGAAGGGGAAGGAAGGGAGGACATTTGGGAAGGATTTGTACCCACTTATGCTAAAGCAAGTGTTTTTGCTGAATGCCAAAGGATCCAGAATATTTAGTTCACCCAGATTCCCCGTGCATTTCAGCTAACTGAGCTCCAAGTGCTTGGCTCTTATCTACTGATTTTGTACTGATTTGCATCCTTTGGCTTCTCTCCCATCAGACTGTAAGCTCCCTGAGGATCAGCGGCTTTAGAGGCCATATAGGTCAAACCATACCTAAAATTACAATCTTAAGCTCTTCTTGTCTCGTATTTTTTTCTGCCATTTCAAGTCTTTCCCACTTGAGTGTGGGTCTGGTGAGGACCGAGGCTGTACCTCACATGACTTCTGTTTGCCCTAGAGCGCAGGGCTGAAAAGCAGAGCCTCAGTCAGTGCTTGTCGGAGGACTGGATTGATTGCTCCAGACAGGGAGAGACTGCGGGAGGAAGAGTCAAGGGGAAGGAGGACTTGTTCTGGGAACCAGAGCTCTTCCTGGGGATGGGAGACTCACATGGTAGACTGAGGTCCCAGCGAGGGTGCCTTCCAGCACCTCAGCGATGGCGGGCAGGTTCTGGAAGGTGGGGTCATTGTCATTCAGGTCCAATAAGTTCACAAAGACTGTGGCGCTGCTGGTGGCTCTCAGTGGGGGTCTGCCACCTAAAGGGAATCAAGAAAGCAGGGAGAGGGGAAATGGAGAGAGGGAAAGGGGAAAGAGGAGAAAGAAAGAAATCATTTAGAGGCAGCTGGTGATGCAGTAGTTGTGGAGTGCTGGGACTGGAATCAAGAAGACTTGAGTTCAAATCTGGCCTCAGACACTAGCTGTATGACCCTGGGTAAGTCACCTAACCTCTGTTGTTCCCAGTTTCTTCAGCTGTAAAATGGCAATTTTAATTAATTAATTAAATCAATATATAAAATAATAATAATAATAATAAAATAAATCTAAATAAACAATGAAATAAATATAATAAAAAGAATAAACAATAAAACAGCACCTGCTTCTCAGGGTGGTTTTGAGGATCAAATGAGGTAATATTTGTAAAGTGCTAGCTCTTTATATAGCACATAGTAGGTACTTAAAAAAACGCTTGTTCCCTTTCCTTCCTCCTCATTTTCAAATGGTTCCTTGAGGAAGGCTGTCACAGGTGGCTCCTTGATAAGCCAGAGCAGGTAGAAGACCCTGGGCCTATCCCCTCCTCCCTGAATGCCTCTCCAGCTATGTTCAGAGGTCATCTGGCTGACTGGAAGGAGAAGCTGGAAGGGGAGACCCCAGCAGGGTTCCCATCTAGTCCAATGATAAGAGGCACAACCTCCACAGGGTGAGAGCAAATCCAAGGACCCATGACACTCTCAATGTGGGGCATCCCATGCCTGGGACTGGCCAAGGCACAATGGCAGCTTGAGGAGAGTGGGGCAGGTTGGGGTGGAGAGGGGTGAGCGGGGCTCCTTACAATCGGTGACGGTGACGATGATTTTGCGCATGAGTTCTGCCTCTTCGGGGTCAGGGTTCTCGCGGTCCAGCATGACGTTGGTGGTTCTGATCTTGCCCGTGGTGCCGTTGATGCTGTAGAACTTGTTGGGAGGGTGAATGCTGTACACCAAAGTACCGTTCTCGGCCAGGTCAGGGTCCACGGCCACCACCTAGGAGGGGAGGTGAGGATCATGACACCCACATGGCAGGTAAGAGAGAGGTGATCCGGGTTTGGGAACTCATTAGCCTGCTTCCATGGCATTGTGGTATAGGGGACAAAGACCTGGCCTCTTTCCCATTCTGCCTAGACCTCTCCCCATCCCAGGACCAGAAGGGGCTTCATTGGGCCAGGAGGACCAGGTACTGGGACAAGGAGACCCTCTCTATCAATATAAGTCAGCACCTCTCTGCGACCTGTAGGCCAGATGAAAGATGCAGAATGGGAAAGAGAGAGGACATGGAGCCACATTAGCACTCTGGCTCTTCCACTTGCTGTCTGCATGACCTTGGGTGGGTCACTGCCTTTCCTTTGGGTCTTAATTCCCTCACATATGGGGACTGGACTAAGTGAGATCCAAGGAATTTTCCCGTTCCAAACCCCATGATCCTGTAAATCGGACAACAAAGCCAGTAGCAGTTGGGATTACATGTTAGGATTTCATTGTATAATGAGCATCTCACAAGCTGGGAGAGCATGAAAGGGCAGGGCCTTAGGAAAGGGGGAACCTAGGGGCTCTGCCTTGGTTGAAGTTCAGAGACTGGGGCTTTCCCTTGATGGAAGCATCCAGATTATTTCCCAATTAATCCAGAGTTTGCATTTTCTTACCCTGCTAGACTCTAAGTTCCAAGAGGGCAGAGACTACATCTTGAGTAGACTTTGCATCTCCTTTAGCCCTTGACCTCTGTATGTAGTGGTTACTAAGTTTTTGAGAGGTGAGTGAATACATTTGTGAACTTTTGCTTTGTGTACACTCCACTCTATAGATCTTGGCTTCAGAAACAGAAAAGTTATAATCTTCTCAGGGCTGACTGTGTTGGATTATGAGTTCTATAAGTGGGAAAGAAAGATGTGGGCTGGTTTAACAACTGGATCTCCAAAAACGTGACAAACTTTTCAATTTAATCTGTTCTGTTAATATTTTCTCCATCATTTTCTTAAGTCTAGAGGTCAACAAAACAAGAAATCAAATCCTGGCTTGTTATATTTTCCAATTTCTGAGGTGTAAATGCTCACGATGAGCATTTAACAACTGGCTCTCCAAAAAACACGTCAAATTTTTCAGTTTAATCTGCACTGTTAATATTTTTCTATCATTTTCTTGAGTACTCTAGACAATCAACAAAACCAACAAGAAACCAAACCCTTATTTGGAGCATTTTCCCATTTCTGAGGTGTAAATTTAACAATGGGCTCTTAACAATGAGCCAGTAGAAGGTTGCTTGAGTCACCTGGATGTGAGCATACCAACAGGACCTGGCAGAAGATGAAGAAAGAACATATTCTGTGGTCCTCAGGTAGCAACAATTTATTGACATCTTACACAGTCTGTCCCAAAGGTTGCCTCCTGCTCAGTGTATCTGAAAGATAGCTTAATTACTGAGTGTTAACACAAGATAGTGTTGTACAGTGGTGGGGGGGGCTGACTCTAGAGTCAGAGGACCTGAGTTCAAACCCTGCCTCACACACTTGCTACCTGTGTGACTTTGGAAAAGCCACTTAATCTCTGTGGGCCTCAGTTTCCTCATTTGTAAAATGAAGGGGTCTGCCAAGGCGGTCTCCTCTTGCTCTAACCTAGAATGCCACAATTCTTGTTGAATTGGGGACTGGAACCCAGATGTCTGAAGATCACAGGACATTTTCCAGGCGTTTATTTCACTCTGGAGCCTATCTTGTCACAGCCACCTTTTCCCTTCCTCTGGGGGGACATTCTAGTAGCAGGGACATTTGCATAAGAATCAGTCCTTTTGATGCTTTGGGTCTTCCTACTGCTTTCCCACAGACTGGATTTCATCTCATCTTGGTGACACAACAATTATGTCCACAGCCACCAATTGTAAAGTCAAAGGCAGTGGTGGGATGACATTCTAGGGGGATGGAGGGGTAGGGACTCCCAAGGTCCAGGCCAGAAACAGTTACGGCATGGAGGAGTGAGGGGAGAGAAAGTCGGGGCCGTGCCCACCTGTTCACTCTGTCCTCTGGCCCCCCAACTGAGCAGGGGGGAGGGGCAGGTCTTTGGGACTGATGGTCTCCTTGTTTTCCTGTGCCTTAACCTTTGTGCCTCTCGAGAGGAAAACGGCCAAGACTTTTCTCTTTCCTCTCAGGAATTACCACCGGTAGTGTCCTTGACCAGTTGGTTCCCTTCCCCTCCTCACTCTCATTTTCTCCCCACCATCCACAGAGGCCAAGCTGCATCATTCTACCCTGCCTCAACTAAGGACCAGGGATTTATCAACAGAATTTCTCCTTTGTCTATTTTTTATGAGTTACTGTGCTTTAAGGCTTCTCTCAGCTGATCTAGCTATCACACTCTCCACTGGGGGAAACTGAGGTTCAGAAATGGAAGCAATTTGGCCAAAGTGGGTTCTAGAAGCCAGGGGTTCTGGATCTCAGTCAGGCACCGATGGCCTCCTTCACTTCCCCCCCGCCCCACCCCCGCCCCGTGTTTTAGAGGCTGCAGCGTTTCAGGAGACTAGAACAATTGCTTTCCAGGGAGGGGACGGCTGAAGTCCCATCGGCCAGAGCCTTAACTGCAGGGCACTCTGGGATCAGCTCCTTTGTGTTACTTGATGTGGGACTTCTTTCTGCGTTGGCAGCAGAATATTTCTTTCCCCCACCTAATCCCCTTGCAGAGGTGTCTCTGGGGCTAGCAGACCAGAACAGACAGATGGGCTGCTGAAATGCCTTCAGCTCCCATCTGCCTGAAGTACTGACCAAGCTGGAAGCTCTGGAGTCAGACATGGGAGAGGGACAGGGGGAGCTGGGAAACTGATGGAGGGGGTGAGGTGAAGGTGAGGCCTGTAAGCTGACCCTTCCTGCCAACGGGAACTACTCCAGTTGTGCTGGCACCCTCATCCCTAGCTAGCTCTCTAACCCTGGCGAAGGAAGGTGGATGGACCCAGGGACTGAAGCCCTGGATTGTCATCTGGGCTCTGCCCTGTTCATGTGCTGGGAAAACAGGCAGGTCATTTACTTTTTCTGGGCCTCACTTTTTCCCCCTACTGGCCAGCTAACTAGTCCTATCTTGACAACAGGGAAGATGGTGTATGTCCTTGAGCTCAGGGCTGATGATTCAAAGAACAGTAATAATAGGGTGTCAATAATTATTGCTTAGATAATAGGATGGTAATTAATTTTCTGTATACAATTCTCCCCCAAACAAAACAAAACAAAAATACCTAGAGGCAGCTAAGTGGCAGAGTGGACAGAGTGGGCCTAGAGTCAGGAAGACCTGAGTTCAAATCCAGCCTCAGATACTTATTAGTTGTGAGACCTTGGTCAAGTCATTTAACCTTTGTCTGTTTCAGAGATGGGGATGATAATAGCACCTAACTTTCAGGGTTGTGGTGAGGATCAAATGAGATAATAGTTGTAAAGTACTTAGCACATGGTAGGTACTTAATAAATGCTAGTTCCCTTTACTTCTCACCTAACCACTGGAGAAAAAAAGAAAAAAAACCCCAAAACCTTTGCAAAAAATATGCATAGTCAAATAAAACAAATTCCCATGTTGGCCACGTTCAAAAGGTGTCTGTCCCTGCCTACTCTCTGAGCCCATTCCTTCCCTTTCTGTCTGTGAGGGTCCTCTGGAATCATAGTTGGTCATTGTGTCTTATAGTTCTAACTGGAAAAAAGGTAAAATCCTCTTCTGCTCTCTCCTTCTGATCATTTGCCTATTTAGGGGATGGGCAGGACAGCTGTTAGTCTCCCCATTTTATTAATGGGAAGAGTGAGGCCCAGAGAGTGAAGTGAATTGATTTCCTTTGGCCAGATGGCCAATCATTGACTGGGGTTAGATAGAGCTAGAACCCAGGTTTTCTAACTTCCAGGCCATTCATCACCCACAGTAATGCCTTGTCCTTTCCTCCTTCAGATCGATTATATGTCCCCAGAGAGGCTCTTTCCACACACGGGTGAGGTGAGCAGGGGCACCCCCCTTCCCCCACTATGAGTCATGTTTCTGATGGCCACTTGGGCTCTCTATGGAGCCCAGGGCACGGGGGGGGCATGGCCCCTCACCACCTCTCCTGCCACCTCCCTTCCTCCCACTTAGATCATTTTGTGGATTCTCACCACTTTCCCCTCATTTATTTCCCATTTCACGCCCGTCATTTTTCTCCTGGCCTGACGGGGAATAATTCTCTCCCTATCCCCTCTCTTTTATTTTGCTGGAGGGCTTTGAAAGGTTCTAAATCAATGCGAATCAGAGAGGTCCTTGAAGGAGGTTGCAGGAAAGGGGAGGAAAAGTTGGCCCCAAATCTCACTTACAGTGTAGGAATTCATCAGCACATGCAGCTGTGTACACACACACACACACACACACACACACACACACACACACGCATGCATGTATGCACAGAGGCATGTACAAATGCACATGCTTATAGTGTACATATGTAAGCATGTACACAGTACATGCACACATGTGAAAAGCAACAGTGAAAGGGTGTGTGGGCAAACAAATATACTCAACATCCTTAACAATGAATGGGCACTGTCCAGGGTGCTCAAAGGCTGTTTAGTTGCTAGGCATGCCAGGTTAAGTTCTGTGAACTCAGCTGGTTCTGGTGCCCCATGGGAAGTCCAAGAATGCCAAGGCCACCTCTAGTGAGTAGCCTTGGGGAAGGCCTGATGTGGCTTGGTCACTCTTTTTTTTTTAGGCAATTGGGGTTAAGTGACTTGCCCAGGGTCACACAGCTAGTAAGTGTCAAGTGTTTGGTCTGAGGCTGGACTTGAACTCAGATCCTCCTGACTTTAGGGCCAGTGCTCTATGCGCTATGCCACCTAGCTGCCCCTGGGTCACTCTTGCAACCACTGGCATGACCCTGAATCTCTGTTGAGAGGGGATTTATGGCAAATAGCTTTGGAGCAGGGATGGGGCCAGGTAGGCATCACACTTTGGGGCAGAAATGTTACCTTCTGTATACTACTAATAGCCCAGCAGAGTAACTCAGGGAAGAAGTCATTTGACTCTCTTCTCTCTTCCTCATCCTCTCCTACATCTGATCAGATGCCAAGTCCTGCTGATTCCACTTCCAGAACCTCTCTCCTCTACATTCATCCTTTCTGTTCCTATTGCTACTAGCCCTAATCCAGGTACTTCTTTTTTCTTATCCAAGCTATAGCAATAGGCTCTTTTTGTCCTTCCTGTCTCTGGTGTTTCCTTCTCCAATCCCTCCTTCACATCACTACCTTTGTAAACTCTCTGATGTACTGTTCTGATCATACCACTCCTTTGTCGAGAAACCTTCAAAGACTCCCCCATAGGCTACCAAACCAAATACAAACTATACATCCTGGCAACCAAGGACCTTTACAATCTGGCTACGACTTCCCCTTTCAGCTTTATCTCACACTATGTCCCTTTTGTCCTCTACAATTCAGCCACATTGGATTATTGACCCATCTGCCATCTCTGTATTTTTACTCTTCCTAGGACTGGAATTGACTTCATTTCTACCAACTTACCGTGGTGACATCAGAATCTGGAGGTGTCATCTCCACTAGGTTGATGTGATAAGGAGCATCCTTCCAGATGGGGTGGTTGTCATTGATGTCCAAAAGAGTGATATTCACCTGGAAAGTCAAGAGGGAGAACATGGGATGGGCCATTCTCCCAGAGGTGCCCTCCTGGGACAAATCTCTATCCAGCTATTCTTATCCTTAATATTCAGTGTTCTGTGGATTATTTCTCAGGTGGAGATATTACTGACCAGTTGTTGTCCTTCATTCTCAAAGAGTACCAACATGACATCCACTATACTGGGGTCAAGGTACAATGTGTCCAACTATGGCTGATCAGAACAATATGAGCTCGGAAGGCTCTCCCACAGGTTGGGCACCAATAGTCCACATGAACCTTTGGAGACCTAGGTCCCAATTAGTGCAAATACCAAGTCTCCCAATGTAGTGGTATGTGTTCAAACTCACACTATTTAGAAAGTTATAAGCATGTAAAATGTGGTAAATTGGTTTTAGTCCAACAGAAATATGCCTGCAAAATTGGTGACTTACACTACTTTTTGCAGTTTGTCATCATCATTATTAGAAGTAACAATAATTTCATTCTCTTGTTCAATTGAGTTCATATAGAAATAGTTCATACACATCACTAATCCTGTTATTATTATTCCTTCATATTGAATGTTCTGTATTTCATGCAATAAAGGGATAAAATCACCACTTTTTATAAGTGAATAAAAGGATTGGGGTGTAAGCCTCTCTTCTGTAGACTCATTGAAAGCATCTTGGAAACCCCAGGACCTTAAACTGTGATGTGATGAAACTGGGTCTCACCCTGTTTCTATCTGATTTTGATTCCATTCCATGTAGGTTGGAGGTTAAATATTGTTCTTAAATTTTTATGGCTCAATGTTGATGTCCATACAACTTGTGGGCAACAGTTCTGTCTGTGATAACGGCATGGTTTCAGTACAGTTTTTTGTTATTATAATTATAATAATTATTATTACTATCTAACATGCCCAGAATTTCCTGATAGGTTCATTCAATGGTCTTCCAGAATGCCACTTTGCCTTCAAAGGGGCCATTTTTGCATCGTTTTCATCCCCTTAATGGTTAGTTTCTCTATAGTCATTCCAAAGCTGCTACAAATGAGGAGGTTTGAATTGGGGTAGAGTTGGAGAAAGGGTCTTTGTAGGGGACCCCTCCCCAGGAGGTTTTAACAAGAGGAAGGACAGGTTCCCAGTACCACAGGATCACAGACTGAGAGCTGGAAGGGACCTTCAAGGTCAGTTCTAGATCAATGCCCCCATTTGACAGGTGAAGAAACAATGATGACTTGTAGTTGTGATGTCACTAAGGGATGAACAAAGTGACCTCTGGGAAACCCATCCTCCTGAAACCCAGGGATTCTTTTTTCCTTCCTAAAATTCTATAGGCCTGGCCAGGCAGAGAGCAAAGTAATGGGCACCAGGGGAGTGATTTCTGAGCCAAAAGTGAGATGTCCAGTGTTGGCTAGTGAGAAAGGGGCGCTTTGTGCATGTGCATGTGTGTGTGTGTGTGTGTGTGTGTGTGTGTGTGCGTGCGTGTGTGTGCATGTGTGTGTTTGTGTGTGTGTGTGTGTATACATATACAGGGATGTGCATCAGAATCCCTCGAGCTTCCTGGTTGATTTTCAATCCAAGTAATTTCCTCATTCTCTTGCTGCCCTGGTAAATTATTTACAGGGTTCCAAATTCCTATTAGTGAGGGGCCTTCGGGTACAGTGCCTACTTACTGAGGAGACTTCTGGATCCACTATAACCCCTCAAAGCACCAGTGTCACGGGGCATCCACTTCAGCCACTATGACAGGCAGGGGAAGGGAACACAGCAGCGGGTGGCTGGTGGTGGTGCTAGGAAGGGGAGCATGTGAAAAAGAGCCTGGTGGGAGAATTCAAAATCTATGGGACAGCAAGGAACAACACTAGCCAATGAGGGACTGGAGAGAAGCAGTAACAGAAAGGATGTATGTGTATGTTGGAAGGGAGAAGATGATGGACAATGGACTGATGGGCATACAAAAGCAGAAGGAAAATCCCAGAGAACAATAAAAAGGTCAGGGGCTCTAGGTGGGTAATGATGTTTAGTTTATGTGTAGACAGGCAATGGGGGAGATGGGAGCTGAGGTAAATTACAGAGTTCCTGGTTGATTTTTGGGTGATAACTTTTTATTTCATCGTCTTGCAGGCATTCTGGAAGATCATTGAAAATGCAACCTAACACCTGTTGAAGCTGTTATAATAAGGTTGAAAGGGAACTAGCCTGGCAGTCCAGAGGCTTGAATTGTCAGTCTAGGTCTATCACTGATTTGCTGTGCCTGGCACACAGTAGGCACTTAATAAATGTTGATTTCACTATTGATTGCTTAGTTCCCTATTGATTGCAGGTTGCTTCATCCTTTTGGGACTTGGTTTTCTTATTTGTTAACTGGGTGGTTGGAACAGAGGATCTCAAAAGATGGGCCTTTCTAGGTCAAATCTTCTATTATTCTTGTCAATAGTAGAAGGCAAAGAGATGAGGTAAGACTAGAAGAGGCACACTATGCCTAGCACATAGTAGGTTGCTGTTCTGCCCAAAGTCAAGGAGAGCTGTTCTTTCAGCACTCCGGTGGGAAAGAGCTAGGAAGATAGAGAAAGACAAAGGGAAAACATGATTGTGGGCAGGGTGATGTGACTCAGGGGCCCTAGCCTGCCTCTGGGACCTCAAATGAGAGAAAGGTAGTTCTCTTTTCTAATAACACCCTCCTTCTCTAAAGTGACACTTTAGAAACTGGAACATGGAGCTTCTGGATCTCTGATTAGGACCCTAATCAGAGTGTGCCCCTAATAGCTCTTGAGGCAGCCCTGGGGATGTTCTGTTCTGCCAAAGTAGCCCCTGGCCCTGCCTCCTGCAATCAGAGCTAAACCACACTTTAGAGAAGGGCCAGGGAGCACCCTCCCAGCTCAGAAGGCGGGGGAGGGGCAGGGCTGGGCTCTACACAAACTTTGCTCCTTCTTATTCAAAGCTTGATGGCATCAGTCTCAGTGAAGACTTGAGCTCTGGGGCTACAGGACACTGTTTGAGGGAATTCAGGGCTCAGGACCAGGTCTCTGGATGAATTATTTGGTATTTGCTTTACATATGCATATATGTATATATACATGCACATGCACATACACATACGTACACACACATGTATTGTGCTGACTTGATTGTGTACATGTTGTTTCTTCCCAGTAGATTTTAAACTTCTCTGAGGGCAGGGACTGCTTTGCTTTTGTTCTTTTGTGTCCCCAGAACCTGGCACATGGTGGGCATCACATAAATGCTTGCTGAATGGAATAGAATTGAATTAAACATCACCACCTCGGCCCATCAAAGTGTTGTCTACCAGGGGGCCTGTGTCCTGGAGAGGGGAGATTTGTGGATTTCCTGAATGTCACCATGGCTGCCTGAGTAAGGGCTCTGGTATCTTTTTCTTTGAAGGTAGCTCTGCTCTGCACCACCAGAGGCTGCTCCCCTCTATTCGCTGCTCTCCCCCAACTCCTAAATAGTATCAAGGATCCAGAGACTCTGAGAGTTGAAAGGGACACCAGAGCTTTCCTAGTTCAGGGGTGTCAAGCTCAAAATAGAAACGAAAGGCACTAAAATGTACATAAGGATCCTCATGGGTCACACATTGACTTAGAAAACCACATACTAGCATTATTTATGTTCTCTTGTGTTTTCATTTATTTTGTTGAATATTTCTCAATTATAGTTTAGTCTGGTTTGGCCTGAACTAGACGACGTCTCAGGCAATTGGCCCCAGGTTTGACATCTCTGATCCAGCCAATCTGACCACCTCTTTCCCAAGGCAGGACCCCCCTCCAACAGCATTCTTGCACATAGATCTCAAATCAAGAATTCAAAGAGAATTTAGAGGTCATCTAGTCCATGCTCTCTTTTCACAGAAGAGGAAACTGAGGTCCATAGAAAATAAACTGAAGAATTGGGGTCCCTGATAGAAGGTGACTTAGTTTCTTCTTAAAGAGTTCATAGGAAATTTACCAGTTCACATGATAACTCATGGTGCAACATTTCTTCTCATTTCTACCTGAATTCTGCCTGTTTGCACTGGCTCTAATTCTGAACTCTTGAAGAGCAATGGACCCTGCTGTACAGCATACTCCAGGGGAATGAATATTGGCTTTCAAGTCAGAGGACATGGGTTCAAAGCCTACCTCTGACATATTGCCTGGGTGATCACAGGTGAGTCAATCAATTTCTCTTCATCTCAATTCCCTCATCTATCAAATGGGGGCACTGGGCAGGATGGCCTCTGAGGTCTCTTCTAGGTTTACAATCCTCTTTCTGCCTCCTCTTTTACACTACAATTAGTCAATCATCATTTATCGAGTACCTACTATGTGCCAGGCACTATGCTAGGTGCTGGGGATATCAAGAATGAAACATTATCTTCTCTCCAGAAGCTTATGTTCCTATGGGCACAGGCCTTTCAGATATTTGAAGATGTTCATCATGAGCCTCCTAAGAGTTCCCTTCTCTAGACTAAACACTCTCAATTCTGCCAACCATCCATTTGAGTTGGACACTCTCTTTAGGAGAGAAATCCACTGATGCTTGGTTAGAATATCACACCCCTCTCTGCCATGACCTTCTGTGGCTGGGGACCCAATTAGTTTCCCTCTTGCCAGCTGCCCACTCTTCCCACAGCTTTTTTTGGGGGAAGGGGAGATTGTGGGAGCCTCTGGGCAGCAAAGAAATGGGAGGGTATCTGTCCCTTATCCTTGTCTCACCAGGAAAGTTCAAGATCAGCAGATCTGGTAAAATGGCACCACATCTCCATCAAATGGTTGCATGCATATTTGTATATATTTGTATGTGTATAAGTTCTGTTTTGTCAGCCCTCAAGGCTCTTCTGGATTCTGCCTCTTGTCAATAGGCAAATATTCCTGATGGGACTATTGCATCCTGTTCTTAGCTGGAGGTAACACAAGGAAGGGCCCCTGGCATATTCTTGCTTTCCACTGCCCCACTCATAATCAGATTCTCCATGGATTTTGCATCTCTTGGGAGGAAATGCCTTTCCATTCCCTTCTATGAAAAGATCTGTTTCATTGTCCATTTTCAACATTTTGTCTTTCTCATGTGGATCTGTTATTTCTCATAGTGAAAGAGGCAGACCCTTTGCCATCCCCAACTGAGAATGGAGGTGGAACTCTCTTGATCCATCCCTTCTGGATGGGAGAATTCCAGAAATGACCTGGTTCTCTTTAACAACCCCCTCCATCTCCCTATTTTTTCTCCCATCTGCAGAAATAGATAGCTAGATCTTGGTTTAAGTGGCAGCCCCAAGCTTTTGGATAAGCTCGAGGGGAAAGCTGTCAAGGCAACCCCAGCTGATGTCAGAGGAAGGGACAGGAAGGGCAAGGAGCTCACAGTGGCAATGCCAGTCTTCTGGTTGTGGCCAACACCCCCATCCACTGCCCGCACAATGAGGATGTACTCTGATTTGGTTTCTCGATCCAGCAGGGATGTAGTTGTGATTTCACCTAAGGAAGAGAGGAAGGAGTGAGACCACATGTTTTTTCATACCCCTACCTCTCTGGGTCATGGAGTAAGGATCTCTATGACTCATCTCAGCTCCCTGCATGAGGAATATCTGGGACCAAAATCTAAGTTACATCTTTAAAGGGCCAATAGGAAACACAAAAGCTGGTAAGATTATCTGGGAGGGGGAAGAAGCAAAACCTCTTTTCTCCCTCTTGGGTATGAGCCAGGGCTCTAAGGCCAGGCAATATGACCCCATGGTAAGGAGGAAGAAAATGCCCCTTGGTACAATGGAAAGAGAGCTGGATTATGAGAAAGGAGAACTAGACTTCAGATTCTGTTTTATCATTAGCTCACTATGTGAACTGGAACAAAGTAGCATCTCTGCTTATACCTCTGTGAAATCACATAAATAAAATCACATAAATAATCATGGGATCACAGATTTGGAGTCAGGTGGGACCTCAGAGGTTCAGGGGTTCTTAAATAGTCCAGGGATTCTTAACCTGGGGTCCACAGATCCCCCAACTGACCCATGGATAGATTTCAGGGGGTCTGTGAACTTGGATAGGAAAAGAAAAATATCTTTATTTTTACTAACCTTTAATTGAAATTTAGCATTCCTTTCCATTACAAATGCCGGCAACAAACCACAGTAGTATTAGCAGTACCTGTGATTTTGTCACCAATAGAAGTAACAGATATTTTCATATCATAATATAATTGTTGCAGATATCCCAAAATATCTCTTATCCTCATCATCACTTTGAAATTACTCTAGTCATTAGACCTACTGCTAGATATATTATTATATCTTAAATAAAATTTTTTTGATAACTACTTCAACATAATTGATTTCCTTCATATTACTATGTATTTTATTTTATATATTTAAAAAGACTGTTTTGAGAAGGGGTTTATAGACTTCACCCATTAGACTGTAAGCACCTTGAGAAAAGGAGCTGTCTCTTACCTTTCTTTGTATCCCCAAAACTTAGTGTCTGGAATACAATAGATTCTTAATAAATACTTGTTGACTTGGCCAGACTACCAAAATTATCCATGGCACAAAAAAAGGTTAAGAATCCTTGATTTAGATTAGACTTTCATTTTATAAATGAGGAAACCAAGATCCAAGGAGGCTGTACTTGTCTAAGGCCACACAGGTAGCAAGTATTAGAGAGAGGATTTGAACTCAGGTCCTCTTATTCCAGGGCTAGTACTTGTTTCATTATACCATGCTAATCTTTAAAATTTCCTCCTTTTCTAAAGGTCTATATTGGCTGCTGAGGGTTTTGAGACACCCAGAAGAAAGTCACTAGGTTAATAGGAGAGATGAATGAGTTCACTCTTCTCCCCCTTGCCAAGATGGAGGAGAGAAAGCAGTGACTTGCTTGGGGACCTGTATCAGGGCCGACCATGATGAAAAGGCCAAGCAGGGAAGCTTGGCAAAGGGTTGAGCCACAGAGATGTGCTCCATGGGTTGGGGTAGTGTCGATTAATTGGCAGGGCGAGGAAGAAATTAATCTCTAAAAAGTTTTAAATATGAACTTGTCGGCATGATGGATAGCTTCTTCTGTCTGAGAAATTAGACCCAATTAAGGCCACCTTTGTGGAGCAGGCTGGCTAATTTGACCAAGGAGCTTGGAGGAAAATGTTCCCATGTCTGGAGCTAAAGGAGAGATGTCAAAGCAGGAAGAAAATGGCTATATCATCATTAATACCCCCCAGGGCTGAACTAGACTTCCTATGTGGGGGAGAGAGGAGGAGGAGGAGAGGCTGGGGAGAGGTTAATGGGGGTATCCCCCTCTCTCCGAGCAGGTGAGCATCTCTCTAACCCTTACATAGCCTTCATTATTCCAAATCCTGCTGAGATGTGCCCATGGTCAGTGGCTACATCTATAAGGAGGGGAGAAATTGTACCCATTTGTATAGAGTTGGAAGGTGAGACCCAGGCTGGTGGAGGTATTTTGGCTTCTTCTGATTTTCCTCTCCTATCAATTTTCAGCTGTGACTGGTGAGGGAAAACCCCAGGTGGGAAGGGATCAGTTTACTCAGCTGACCCTGGTGTTGCTCTCTCTCTCTTTTTTTAGCTCATTTACCCAAGCTGCAAGGACTTCAAAGACTCCAGGGAGGGAATAGAAGAGAGCTGCTGCCCTTCCACCCTTCCCCCACCAAGTCCAGCCCTAATGCTGATGACTCAATATCTCACCTGCTTTAGGGAACTGCAAGATGAAGAGGGAGTTGGCTGGGCAGAGGAAGCTGCAAAACAGCTGATTAGCATTTTACAGAGTGGGAAGTGGAGGTTCAGAGGGGTTGGGTGATTTGTTCAAGGCCACAGAACTAAAAACTATGAAAACTGGGATTGAAACCCAAGTTCCTTGAATATTGATCATTGCTCTTTCTCCTAAGGAATGTGCTGCAAATTTTGGTAAATCAAACCACATTTTGGAGAACTTGCAATTTCAGGGTATCTTATGGTGAATCCTTTTGTAAAATGAATCACTCTGTGGTAAAGTGAATTGGTTCTTAATCTAGTTCTTTAAATGTGATAGGAGCCAAGATGGAGGAGAGAAAGCAGTGACTTGCTTGAGCTCTCCCTCAAACCCCTCTAAACAACGGCTCGAAACAAATTCTAAAGCAGCAGAACCCACAAAAGACAGAGTAAAACAAATTTCCAGCCCAAGACAACCTAGATGGCTGATTGGAAAGGTGTTTTGCTCCAGGCTGGGAGAGGAGCACAGTTTGGCGTGGGCGCACAGGCCGCAGCAACCCTGGAGCAGGCCTCAGAGGGCTGAATCTCAGGCAGCTGTGGCAGTTTCCAGACTTCTCAACCCACAAATGCCAAAGACAACTTAGAAGGTCAGTGGGAAAAGTCTGTGACTGCGGTGAGAGAAGAAGCTAGGTCTCAGCTGCCCCAAGGGCAGCGTCTGCCTCCTGAGCTTTCAGACCACAGACTGAGGGAGAATCGAGAGGCTGATCAGAGGGGCATTGCAAGGATCTCTTTGCCAGTGCTGAGGCAGGAATCTCTTGGTTTGCCCGTGCTTGGATCTGGGTCACAGTTCTGAAGGGCGGTCCTGGGGTGAGGAGAAGCGCTGGCGTGGTGGAGCTTGTTGTGGCGGTGGAGAGGAAACACCTTGCCCCTTATCATAGCACCTTGAAAGAACTGACACTTTTCAGGTCCCTAGAAGTATCTCTGAAAACAGCTGTACAAACCCCCAAAGCTTGGGACAGTACATAAATGTGATAAAGCGAATTAGTCCTTTATTTTTATCTTTTTAAACCTATCAATTTATATTCTTCCATTTGGGAAACTGCTGATATTTTCAAGGCTCCTAAGCAACTTGTTACCAGAGCCCATCTTGGTTTGTTTTTTGTGTTTTTTTGGCTAGGCAAAGGGGTTAAGTGACTTGCCCAGGGTCACACAGCTAGTAAGTGTTATGTGTCTGAGGCTGGATTTGAACTCAAGTCCCCCTGAATCCAGGGCTGGTGCTCTATCCACTGCGCTACCTATCTGCCCCTCAGAGCCCATCTTGTTAACACCAAATATTTTCCTGATGTGACTGCCCAACTTTGAATAATGGAACATCACCACGTCTGAAGAACCCCAAACACAGATAACCCAAAGGGTGCCTTTGGCTGCAGCATCTTACCAATGATGCCTCCTGTGAAGGCAGCAGCATGAAACACAGAATCAGGGGTGTAGATGGCTCAGAAAGGAGGTGACATGATCATGTATTGGGAATCAGAAAAATAAGATGGGAACAGCTTAAGAAGTACATTGGTACCCACTGAGAAATTAAAAGTTGGAGGCCTCCAGAATGTTGAAGCAATCCTATCTGGAAGATTTATAATAGCTAGCATTTATAAAGTCCTTTAAGATTTGAAAAGTGTTTTATCCCCTCAACAACCCTGGGAAGGTAGATGCTATTATTAGCCCCATTTTGCAGATGAGAAAACTGAGGCTAAGAGCATTTAAGTGACTTGTCCAGGACCATACAGCTACTCAGTGTCTGAGGCCAGAATTGTACTTGGGTCTTCCTGACTCCAGGTCCAGGACTCTATTCACTGTACCACCAGCTGTTCCAACTTATAGAAAGACGTGAATAGTAAGTACATAGTATGGGAAAGCATGGAAGAGCTTCCACTTGCATTGACAGAGGGTATACCTAAATGAAGTCATGGACCCATCAGGGAATCGGGTCATTTATATTTTGGATTTGGGTATTCACATATTGGGTTTGTTTAAAATGAAACCCACTTGATCATATTTCTTGTCTTTTCAATGGATGGGGGAGGGGCTGGAAGGAGGGAGAGAATTTGGAACTGAAAATAAAAATAAAATTAAAAAATAATCAATCCCACTTATGATAGAGCTTGAAGGCACCTTGAGTGCTTAGGGCTGGAGGCTGAGGTGAAGGTGGACAGAAAAGAATCACAATCAGAAAAGAAAAAACAGATGGAAAGGAGTCTGGGAGAGTGGATCACCTGATCGTGCATTGATCCGAAATTGTGAGGAGCCTTCCAGAGAGTAGATAATGGACTCCTGCCCATATTCCCGGGAGCGGTCCAGGTCTGTTGCATTCAGAAACAACACCGTGGCACCTTTAAGGGACAAAGGACAGAGGAAGCTCTATTCAACTAAAGCTCAGTCTTAGATCACGGTACCTGCCCATTAATGGCAAGAACTGAATAGAAATCTCAAGATAAAATGCCCTGCTAGAGCCCATGATTCTGTCCACGTGAGCTGTCCAAAGTATTTGGCTACTGGCAATTACAAGGGGCTCTGTTGAACACAACTCTAATTCTCTTGCTAGCATAATTTCAAGGAAGCCAAAATACCGATGACTCATGCCTTGAGGGATCATCAGTCATTTCATCTGGCTGAAGCAGGATGCCTTCTCATTCCCTCTCACATACTTTGGACCAGCGTGGCACACAGAAATCACTTAATGAGTTCTTCATGTGTGTTTCCAGTTGGTACTTATAATAAACTTGATATCAGCTAGCATTTTTATTTATGAATAACCTCTCCAGAATTTATATTACATTATTTAAACTTTATGACCCCAAATCTTACAGTTGAGTCACAATCTTTTGTTTAAAAGTAGGTTTTTATGGGTTCTATTTCTTTCCTTCAAGATCCATTTAAATCTATTTTCTCTCATCATCTATTTCTACCTCCTCCAAACTCTTAAAAATTTAGGGGCCTGAAAACATTGTTCACAACCTGACTTCCCTGGTCACCTGGGGAACATTCCCTAGCCCTATGTCTTAGACCCTAAAAAGGACCTCTGATCTTCCTGGGCTGTAGCTCCCCTCTCCTCCTATCTCCCCTGACTCTGACACTCCTCTGTATTACAATACCATTTAATGAATCTCTTCCACAGTCTGCTTTTTACTAGAGTTGTTTATAGGTAAGTCCATTTTCCTCTTCTAGATTGGAAGTTCTCAGAGGGCAGGGAACATCCCTTTTTATTATTCCCACAATACCTAGAGCTGTGTCTTATATGGAGGTAAAATAAGCAAATGTTAATTAATTGAGCTTCTGGAGATGCTTTGTGAATGACTTTGCTGTGGTTCAGGAATAAAAGAACAATCAGATTAAATAGTTCTGTGGTCTCCAGGGATTTCTCTCTGTCTGTCTCTTTCAACACAGTGCTTGAAATGTAATAAATGCTTAATACATGTTTTTTTCACTCATTAATTTGTAATCATTTTTGAAGGAATGTGAGAAACCCATCTAAAAACTAGTTCTGAATAATGCCCAAAGCAGATAGGGTCTATCTGAGGTACCTTGTCTCCTCCTCATCCCTACTTCACCCCGATCCCCAGACCTAATTATCACTGAACTTGCCTAGATGGCAAATAGGACCCACTTTTACCCACAGAGCAATGGTAGGTGATCCTAAGGTTTGTAATTACTCATTCTCACCTCCCTCAGTCTCCCATGCTCACTCACCCTTACTCATGCAATTCCTCTGGCCTGGAATACGTTCCTCCTTACCCCTCTATCTAAATTGTATTCATCCTTTAGGGGTCAGCTGAATTCCTGCTTCTTCTATGAATCCATTCCCTGATTATTTCTAGCCTATACACACCTACAATTCTAAAATTCTACTGTATTTATAGTTAGTATCACATAGTTCATCCTTGAAATTGCTTCATATTTATCTCCTTAGCAAGACCTATAAGATGATTGAGGGTAGGGACCATGTCTTATGCTTATCTACATATGCCCCCAGTGCCCAGAATTGTGTTTGGCCCATAGTAGATACCCAAATAATTGCATTATTGATGGATTGGCTAGCTGTTAATTGACCAATAATTCCCCCAAAAGAACAGGAAATGGGTCAGCCATCTAGTCAGGAGGCCTGGGGTTCCCATACCTGCCATGATGTTCTCCACGACAGTGACAGAGTAGGAGGGCTTGCTGAAGGTTGGGGGGTTGTCATTCTCATCCTGAAGAGAAGATGACAGGGTGAGAACAATCAGCAAAGCAGCTCAGGATTCAGTTGCACACCAGGATAAGACCTCTGGGTTAGGGTGGCCTTGGCCTCTAAGTGCAGCTGATATCATGCAACAGGACAAGAGTAGCACAGGCTGTCTCCCTTTATTTGATTCAACAAATACTTCTTAACTGATTACTATGTGCCAGGCGCTCTGTTAGGGTCAGCCAATACAAAGGAAAAACCAGCCCCTGCCCTCAAGGAGCTTACATTCTATTGGTGGGGCTGGTAAAGGAGGGAATTCACACACCATGTAAATAAATAATTTAAGATAGTATATACGAAGAATACAAAGTAATTTCTAGAGAGAGAGGGTAGTAACAATTGTGAAGAGAGGGGGAGGACCAAGTGTTCCAAGAATTCTAAGGATTCCAAGAGGTAGAGGTAAGAAGAGAGTGCATCTAGACATAGGGGAAGAACAATTGAAATCCATTAAGTAATGTTATATAAGGAGCAAAGCTAGCAGGAAACAGGAAGAGGAGGATGACTGGTGGGGGAAAATGGGCCCATTTCCCAGACTCCTGGAGCTAGAAGGGAGCCCATTTCTCAGAAACCTATAAGTAAAAAGGGGACCCATTTCTCAGACTCTTGGAGCTGGAACGGCTTCCATTTTTCAGCTAACAGGAGGACCACCTTCAGAGAAAGTCACCTCTTCAAAGTAGTCAAGGCAAGGTGACAAACATAAGCCCTTATTAGGTGTCAGGCACTGTCCCAAGCTCTTGTGATACAAATACAAGAAAAGAAAGCCAGGTGGGACCATAAGGATGGGCACAGAGCAGGCATCCTTGACCTTTCTAATGTTAACAAGCTTATTTCTTCCCAGTTGAACACAGAGTCCTTTCTTCCCTGAAGCTTTTCCAGACCCACGTTGGCTTATAGTGACCTGGCCTTCCTCTGAATGCACAACACTTAATACCTTAACACTCACTCATTTGGCTATTAATTGCCTGTCTTAAGAACATTTCTTCTATTCTTGTCTTTACTTCTACTTAACTTCTATACCATCATTTCATATTTCACGTGCATCCATCTTGCCTCCTTTATTAGGTTGTCATCTCCTGGAGGAAAGAGCCTGATCTTAGCAGAGTTTATAATTCCTCAGCCCACCGTTTTAGCACCTAGCCCATGGATGGACACTATAAAGGAGGGCAGGCTATTTGAGGCTGAGTTGGATTCTCAGGTTTCCAGATTTGGGGGCAAGTATCATAAACCGGGTCTAGGACAAGAGTTAAGAATAGTATTCTCAGTTGAAGAAAGTTAGGGTGGGAGTCAGGCAGGGTGAGGGGGAAGATCCCCCCTTGCCTGGCAACAAATGAATCCTCATTTTAACTAATTTTTAAAAACTAGATGGACACTAAGCTCTTGATGCTTCTATACTGTTGAAGATGAGTGCTGTCAGGACCTTCTAAATTCAGCACCCTGGTGCTGGTGCCCCATTCACACTGTCCTGGTTACTGGCTGTAACTGGCAGGCACAAAGAATGGCTGGCTTCTCAGACCTGCCCCTTGCCTTCAGAGAGTACTCTGTCCTTTGCTCACATCTGATTCCTAATCTCAGAGGACCAAGAGGTCCTATTCAAGCTAACAGTGCTTTTTATTAGGGCTGGGGGATGGGGGCAAATGGGGAAGAGGGAAACCCACTCGCCCAAAAACCTAACCAAAGCCCCAGTACCACACTCCTGACCCCATATACGTGTATTTAGATGCGTGTATCATACCTATACATATATATGCAAACCTTCTGCTTCACTGCACAAAACGGTGTCCAGAATGTCAGTGACGGAGCATGAGGCGGAAACTTATTAATGGTGATATTTCCCCGGATCCTGGCGCTGAGCTTGCTATTAGTTCTAAATCAGCAGCTCCCGCTACAAAAGCTTATTGTCCCCTAATGGGAAATCTACAAAAGCAAGTTTGACTTCTTTATTAAAAACCAACAAGCAGTAGATGAAAAAAGAAACCACCTTGCCCCTCTCTTCCCCTCCTGCCTTCCCCTGCTCTGTCTTTGTTCCTTGTTGCTCTCTTCTCCCCTTTCGCCCCTCTCTTCTTCTTCCTTTAAGTGATGCCATGACTTGCTGTATCATCAGCTGATTTTATTTTCAGTTGAGAGAAAATCCCTTCAGTGGAGAGAGCCAGGAAAGGGAGGGCTACTTAAAAATCACCCACGTGTGGAATCACCCAGAAGGCAAATGACCTTTTCAAGTGTGATCTTGGGACACAAGTGATGAGCCTATTCCAAAAGCCCAGCATGGAGGAGGAGACAATGCTAGTCACTGCTGAGATGTTCGTATGCCTAACTTGAGGTTTGTGTACAATTCCGGATTTTCTCTGGCTTCCCTGGGGGAAGCGCATCTACGGTCATCTCTCTTAAGGAACAAGAGCTTGGGTTATTCTTTCACCAGGTTGATTCTCTTCCTCCATTGCTAAGCACATGCCCTTCTAACACCATCCTCTCCAAATCTCCTACCCATAATCTCTCCACTATTCTTCAAGGCCTTCTGGGAAGTCTACTCTGATCATTCTAAGAGGAATTTCTCCCTCCTCTGTGGACCAAAGTATTTACAATCTACTTAAGTGCCACTTACCGAACACTGCCTGGGGTTTTGAATTATCTTTTCATGTGAGTTAGTTTTCCCTCCCAAACTAGACTACAACTTCCTCCAGGACAGACTTGTCCTGCTCATCTCAGCACTAACACCCCCCTCCCTCACCCCCTAGTACTACCCCATGTGCTCAAGGCACCTTGCCTTGTATATTAGAAGGGGCTCAGGAAATAGGGGATTTATTGCCTGAGTAAAAGTGACTTTCACCTACGCAATACATTCCTTCCCTTTGTCACTAAATCCTTCTCTTCTTCCTTCAAGGTTTACTTCAGGTGCTTACTTCACCTCTGGGAAGTCTTCCCTGACCCTCCCAGTCTTCCTCCTCTGGTCACTTTGTATTTGTTTATCTGTATACATGGTGCATCTCCTGGTAAGCTTCTCAAGGTTACATATTTCACTCCTGTCATTCAATCCTCAGTCCCCATCATAAATTAGCCTTACACGTAAATAATTAGGCACTTAATGAATACATTTGTAGAACTAAATTGAATTGTGGTTAGTACGGGGTTGAGGTAATGGTTGGATTTAGGGCTGTGGGCAAGTTGTGGAAGCATGGTCAGGTCTAGGGGTAATGTTCAGGAATGGGATGTGGTCAGGGTTAGGGAAGCAGGTCAAGGTGATCAGAGCAAGGTGATCCTTCAAAATTCTTCTGCTTTTCTCCTGCTTTCAACTCTTTGACTGTCCAAAAAGGATGTGTGTGCGCATGCACATATGTGTGCACGTGTGCACTTGCGTGAACAAACCACTGGACAAAGAAAACAATTTGTTTCATTAGTAATGGCAATGTTCAAGATGACGATTTCTTGATCAAAAAAAAAAGATGCACATTTTCAAATACTTCTTAAAGATGTTCCCTGACTGATCTGACTACTTCTTCCAATTTATGCATCTTAGCAAATAGTAGTTCAACTTATATGAGGTTAAAAACCAAAGTTTTTAGACTTCACTTCTCCCCCTCCTTCCTTCTGCTATCCAGGTAATCTCATGTATGAACAAGGTCAAAGTCCAGAGGTTGCCTGCTCCCTCTCTCCATCTGATTCTGACTCTGTCCAGCCTTCCCAATCTGCTAACTGCTCCCCCCACCTCTGTCCTACTGTCAGCACCAAACCAAATTAAAAGGAGGAATAGAGCTAATGAGAGACCCCATCTGGCATTTGCCCTTGTGCCCTGGGTAAACTTAGGTCCTAGGTCAGCATGCCATACTAACACGGGTCTTAGAAAGCTTGGGTGGTTATCCAGCAAACGTGCTCCAGGGTCTGAGATTTTCCACTGCTTTCATCAAATCAAAATGCATCTGCAAATCTGACAATCTTATCTAATCCTGCTGGAGTCTCATTAATGCACTAACTGTTCCATCAACACACATATACACACCCTCTCCCATGGACACCAGCTTTGATCAGACCAGGGGTCTCAGGAGGGAAGAGGCAAAGGATGGCCTCCAGTACAACAATTTGAGGCAACACAACCCTGAATCAACTGGGATGACAGGCAAATAAACAAGGCACAGAGATTGATTCAGTGACTGATAATTTCAGACACGGGGAGTGCTAATACATGCTTGATATTCATGTCAGCCTCTTTGCAGTTTGGTTTCAGGCACCTTTAGATCTTTAGAGAAGGGAAAAGGAAGAAAATGGGGGAAAGGGGGGATAGAAGAGGAGAAAGGGGAGGAGGGAGGGAAGAGAGAGCCAGAGATGGGGGAGAGAGAGAGAGAGAGAGAGAGAGAGAGAGAGAGAGAGAGAGAGAGAGAGAGAGAGAGAGAGAGAGAGAGAAAGGTTGAAAGAAATCTCATTTCATGCTATAGATTTAGGCAGTGCCCTCCACACCAGGGGAGATGTCAGTTTGGGGTTGGTGTGCTTGCTGACTGAAATGGCTAAGACAAGGAATAGGGTGGGAAAGAGTGGGAGAAAGTGAGGGTACCCGGGGGTGGACTTAGGGCTGTGTAGGTGTCAAGTTAATGAATATAAACCTGTTGACTGGGTGACTGAGAGAATAGATATTTCTGAGTACTTACAAACACCTCAATGGTGACAGGGACAGTGCTGTTGAGAGGTGGGCTGCCAGCATCCTTAGCCATGATGGTCAGGTAAATCATTCCATTGGGGATCTGTTCATAATCCAGGGGACGGTTGACACTGATCACTGAAATGACAGGAAACATGGTAGGAGGAGGAGGAAGGGGAGGCAGAGACTCTAGGATCATGTCAGAATCTCAGAGTTGGGGCCATCTTCTCCAACCCCCAAATCCTCTCTATAATGTGCCTCCAACAAGTGGTCATCCAGTCTTCCCTTAAAGATCTCACATGCAGAGAAACCTATTAGTTCCTGAGGCAGGCCACTGCTTTGGCATAGCTGTGTTAGGAAATTCATCTTCATCTTTGAAAATGAGGTAACTCAACTTGCCTTTCCCATCTCACACATTTTTTTTTTTGTGATGGGCCAATTAGAAAATGAATGTGGAGTTCTTGATAAACCAGAAATCACCCTCTATTTATAAATTGTGAGAGGTAGTGTTGTATAGTAGACAAAGCAATGGATTAGGAAATAAGGGAGCTGGGTTCAAATTCTGGCCCTGATTCTCACTAGCTAAATGACTATGGGTAAACTGATTTCCTTCTCTGTGTTCCTGGTTTTTTGATCTGTAATATGGGAATAATAATTCTGGCATCATCTATCTTACAGAGTTGCTGTGAGGGAAGCATTTTATTATTATATTTTTTATAAACCCCAAGTTTTCTCTAAATGGAATCAGTGGTAGCTTTCAATAGCTCCTTACATCTCCAGTACTTAAATTAATTAAAAAAGCTTGTTGAAGATGAGGATGGGTGCAAAGGTTCCTTTGAACTCTAAATCCTAGGATCCCATGATGAGGAGAGACAGGCAAGGTAAAGGTGATCCTCTTTCTACCCCTTTCCCCCATGCAACCTTCTTTCTTTTCTTTCTTCTATGATATTAGTATTTATTTATCATAGCCCTCAGATAAACATGGTGGGTAATTTTGTGTGTGTGTGTGTGTGGGGGGAATGTTTCAACTAAGGAAAGATCTGGGTCATAGAGCTCTTCCAGGGCTAACTAGGGGTCTCCAGGGGAGCATCTTGAGGGCTTTGGTTGTCTGAGTGGAAGGGGTGGTGGACTGAGAACAAACTTCTCTTCCTTCTCAACTCTGCCTAGGGGCTCCCTAAGGAATCCAGACCTACCCTGAATGTACTCAAGAGTCATCATCAGTTCTGACAAAAGGGAACCAACAGAAATATACTGAGATGATATAAGAGGGAGATAAAATATCCTGACTCACTGGGGAGTCAATGCCCAAGGAAGAGCTCACTCAACCCTAACCCAGTTACCAAACCCACTGTTGATTTGAAGAGATTTGAAGAGAACTGCCAAAGTGGTATCTTAAGACCATTTTCCCTCCTCTGGGCAACAAAACTCTGGGTTGTGGATAGAGGAGCCATATATCCCAGCTCTTTCTTTCTTTCACCCTGCAAGACCCAAAGCTCTTGGCCACACTTACCTGCATAACCCTCATAGACGCTGATATCGAAGTAGCTACCAAATGCAGAAGCATTCACGATGCTATAGGTGATCTGGTTGTTGGGGGAGGAGTCTTCATCAGTGGCCTGTGGAGAGGTGGAGAGTACAGTGTGTGACCCCAGAGCTGCACAAAGTCAAGGGCATCCCTTCTGGGACTAGCAGAGGCTTACATTTGTTCAGGTATGAAGAGGAGGGGATCCCCAAAAGCGATATCTTATTCTTGCTCATCCCCTTCAAGGTAGGCATTGTTTTATATAGATTGTACATCGCTTGTTTTATCTGCCAAGCCTGATGGTCCATGATCTTCTGCCCCCAGGCAGGAGTCCCCTTTCCTTCAGTGAGCACACTGCATTCCAGGATGTCCATCCAAGCTCAGAGGAAGTTTATGAGTGGAGATGCCCCTGGCATATGGAATGGAACTGTGTGCCGCTCACTTCCTCTCCCTCCCCTATTCGGCCTGTCTTCTGATATTGTTGAATTCATTAGCCTCCTTCCAGTCCTGTCACTGACTGCAGAGAGAGCCTTCAGGGAAGCCCACATCACTCTGAACATAACTGGGCCTGATCAGTCCCACGGAATTTCTCCAAATGATGGAAAGAGGGGAGGGGGGAAAGGAGGAGGGGTGTGGAGAGAAGTGCCAGACCAGCTGCCATGAGGCAGTCACGTTAACGAGTAATTGTTGCATTTAGGTGAACAGATGGGCTGCGGCTTCCGTGTCCTTCCCTTCCCCCCACTGCCCCCTCCAAGTTTCTCCCCCAGAACCACTCCTATGGATATGAGAGCTGAAGAAATAAACATTATAAGACTCCTGTCTCATGGTGGGGTATATCCTATTAGGTGGTTGAGGGAATTATTAAAGACCCCTGGGTGTCAAACACCAGAATCATATGCCCCCAAGAAGGAAACCCATTGTAGAGGCATGTGAGGGAGAATAAGTCTCTGTCACCTCAGTATACCTACCATCCTCTGGCTGAGAAATCAGAGGTCCTGAATTCTAATCTTCCCAATTTTAGTCGTGTTTGACTCTTCATGACACCATTTGGGGTTTTCTTGGCAAAGATACTGGAATGGTTTGCCACTTCTTTCTCAAGCTCATTTTATGGATGAGGAAACTGAGACAACCAGGGCTCAGTGACTTGTCCAAGGTCACGCAGCTAGTAAGTGTCTAATAAGGTTGGAGGCAGCATGATATGGTAAAAGGAACACTTGGAAGCCAGAGAACCTGAGTTCAAATTCTGTTTCTGATTCTTGCTGCTTGCATGATCTTGGACAAGTCACTTAACTTCTATCGATCTTGATTTTCTCTTCTGTAAAATGAAGTGACTGGACTAGATGGTTTCTTTTGGCTGGAAGTCGGTGATCTTATGACCAGGCCAGGGATTCTTCATCTTTTCTGTGGCATGGCCCCTTTGCCAGCCAGTGATGGGCCTCTTCTCAGAATAATGTTTTTAAATGCATAAAATGAGATACGTAGGATTCTAAAGAAAACCAGTTAAACCAAAGTACAGTTATCAAAGTATTCTGAAAACAAGTTCATTGACCTCAAGGTAAGAACCCCTGGCCAGATGCTCTGACAGGTGCCTAAGGCAGGTCTGAGAGACTCTGACGCTAAACAGTCTCTGAAGGGAGTGGGAGGAGGCCCCGAGGACGGCTGCTCTTATGTGGGAAAAGGGGGCTCCCTACAAGTTCTAGAATGTAGATGGAGGTTCCTACTTTCTCCCACTACTCTTTCTGTATGGCATGGTAGTCACTTGCTGTCTGACCTGACCAAGAGAAATTGCACAGCTCCATCGCAGCTGGCTCCCACTCCATGAAGCAGCATGGTGGGGTGGAGAGCAGCGGATCTGAGGACCCAGGATTCAAACTTGCCTTTGTCACTTCTCTTGACCTCAGTTTCCCTATCAGTACAAAGCAGGAGTTGCATTATATAACCTCCAATGTCCCTTCTAGCTCAAGAGCGATGATCTTAGGGTTCTCTGAATTCTATCCTGGTGTGACCTTGGATAACTCCTTTCATCTCTCTCTACAAGCCTCAGTTTCCTGATGAATAAAAAGAGGAAGTTGGATCAGATGGCCTCTGATGTCTTTTTTAGCTTGAGAGCTATGATTCTCCCCTTGCTGAAAGGGGGGCTTGAGGTCTGTCTGATCCCAGACCAGGGGTTCTTAACCAGGAGTCTGAACTTCAAAAAAGTTTTGACACTGTATTTCAATTTAATTAATTTCTTTCATCATCCTATGTATTTTATTTTTTGCTTTTAAAAACATGATTCTTGGGCTTTGCTGGACTGCCAGAGAGATCTGTGACCCTCAGAAGGTTAAGAGCCTTAGAGGGAGAATCTATTGTCTCCTTTACTTTTAGAGGGTGTTGGAGGGGAAAACGAGGAAGAAGGTATAGAGCAGGAAAAAACACAGCCTCAGACCATAAGCACATGACCCTCTGGGGTAGATGTGCTTTTCCATGCAATTTTGGGAGGGAGGCCACTCCTAATCTTGCCCACAAGGATGGGGGATGCCTGCCTCCTTACCCGGAGCCGAACCAGCTGGGTCACTGAAGGCTCATTCTCTCTTAAAGCCCCCACATAGGCATCCTTCTGGAAGGTGGGGACATTGTCATTGACATCCAGCACGTTAACTCGGACCCTCCCCGTTGTCTCTTCACCACCCCCATCTCGGGCAATTACGGTCAGTGTAAAGCGCTGGATCAGCTCATAGTCCAGTTTGGCTATCAGTGTGATGAGGCCTGTGTCCTTGTCCAGAGAGAACCTGTCCCCAATAGGGAAATGGGAAAAATCCCAGAGTTAGAGAAGTCATGAAAATAAGGACACAAGGTAAGCAGTCAACCCCACCCCCGTCTTCCACCAAGGCAGTTTTGCATTTAAAGAAAAGTGAATGAAATTTGAAGTCATCATTCTTTTTCTACTTGTAAGGCAAACAGATAGGAGTTTATTTACAAGACTGTGTTCAGCCTGCTTTAATCATCAATCAGTCAACAACAGAACAAATTCCTGGATCTTGTCTATAGCAGGAGAGGTAATACTATCTGGTGAAGAGGGTATCTATCCCAGGACTCCTGGATTCTTGTTTATTACCTTGGTTTTTGTGGGGAGGGTCCTTACCCTTTCTGAATCTCAGCATTCCCATTTGGGAGATGGTAGATAGGGCAATGAACTAGGAAATATGATCACCTTCACCTAGGGCAAGGTGTGTGAGAAGCTGGAATCTCTTGGCCAATAGCCCTTGCTATTGAAATAGGCATGAAAGTGAAACAGAGCTTCCATCCTTTTCTTCTGAGTTTTCTCCTTTGGGAGTGGGAACCTTCAGTGAATTGTCAATTGACATTTGTGCTGATATCTGGGGTCTAGCAGGCAGGTCTCAAGTTGGAAATGATGATAGCTTTCAGTCAAGACAATCAAGGCAAGAGTAGGAAAACCTAAGATAAGCATGGGTCTACCTGCAGGGTACATGGGTTCTGGCATGGTTGAGTAGCATGGAAAAGAAAATTTTCAAAATCTATTCTGTGCCTCTTGCATAAACTCAATTTCAAGAGATCCCTTATCACAACACTCAATCAACCAACCATTCGATCAAACAATCAACTTTCTTTTTCGTTATAAAGCAAAAAGTCCAATATATATAAGAATCATATAGTCTGCTCTCAATAATACCCAACAAAGGAAGAGTATACTGGCTTAGGACAGATATTATAAAGTGGCAAAGAGTCTCCAAATTATCCATATTCCACTTTGGACATTGGGGAATTTGGGATTTGGACATTTGGAATTAGGGATTTTTTTATATAGAGCCAAAATCTCTTTAAAATTCCCACCTTGCCTTATGGAGCAAGCAGGAAAAAAAAACTATTTTTTTTAAGATGTGAGTCCTTCAAACACTTGAAGAAATAACATGTCTTCTTTTAGTCCTTCATATGGTATAGTTTCAAGTCAACTCACCACCCTAGTCTACATCCTTTGAACATATACTAGACACATCCTGAAAAGCTTCCTACTATGTGTTGCCTCCAACCCTCCAGATGTAGTCTGACCAGTAGCCAAGGAGAGCAGGATGGGCCCTTCATTCTGGAAACCACACTCCTCTTAATGCAGCATAAGATCACATTAGCTGCTCGGGCTGTCTCACCATTCTGTTGACTCAGAATGAGTTTGCATTCCACTGAGCCCCCTGGGCCCTTTACATGTGAACTGTTGTGTAGTCCTCCTGTCCCAATGCTGTTGATTTTGCTGGTACCTGAGAGAATCTAGCCGGGGATTGAACCTCTCCTATAGGTAATCCTAAGTGAATAAGCCAAGTGTGTATAACTGAGAGGTGATTTCTAAAGCACCTTTCTTTGGACAGATTCAAGGCATTCTTAAGATGTAATGGTATTTATCCTCTAAGCTCCCTCAGGGTGTAGGGATTTTGAGTCCTGCCTTCTTGTGGATAACAAGCCTGGAGAGTTTAAGTGATTTGACCAAGGTTATTTCTTTAACAGAGTGGGATGGGGTAGAGAAGGGGAAGCAGAAGCTTTCAGGCAGCCCATTACTTTAATCTCTAGGAAACCACTACCCCAACCCCGGACATTGAAAGGCTTCTGAAAGATCTCTGGGATGCTACTGCATCTGACGAATCTCACCTGTCAGAGTCATCGCTGAGAAAGTAGTAGACATCTCCGTAGCTGCCTGCATCATTGTCTGTTGCCTTAGGAAAAATGAGAATAAGAGTTCATAACTGCCAGACACAATGAAATAGAAGTTAAAAGGGAAGGAAGATCCAGCTGCCATGGTAGTCATTTGCCCAGTGAACTGCTAGGCATTATAGCCCAGAGGCTTTCTGTGAAGGAAGTGGGAGAGCCTTCTGGTGAGATCCCTATTTCCTTTTACCTCTCTTCTGACTCTAGTAATACACAGCAACTTTTTTTTTTTAGACCCATGCCAATGCCCTGGACCCAACACCTTCAAATTCTGCTCTGACTTCTGTAATTAGCATCTGAAAATTGGCTCCGTAGCAAGGGTGGGGAGAGACCTGCCACCTGCCTCTCTTGGGAATGAAGATCATCAGCACATTGCCTTTTGGTGGTATCTTTCACTTGGTCATGGAATTTTCCATTTTATCTTTCTAATCACCCAAGGGGAAGAGGAAAGAAGAGGGAGAGGAGACAGGCATTATTCTCCCTATTTAATAAATGAGGAAGTGGAGGCCTAGGCAGGTTTTGTGATTAACCCAATGGCTATAGGTTAACTGTTGGATTAACAGTGAATCACTAGGATAGCCAAGATGTGAACCTAGGTCTGCCTACTGTCAGCCTGGGGACACTTTCAGGCAGAGGATACAGGCTTGAACTACCCATACTGTCTTGGGTTCCGGAGTGAGTCAGTACTTCAACAGGACCATAGATTTGTAGCTAGAAGAGATCTTAGAGGTCATCTAGCCCAACCCCCTCATTTTGCAGATGAAGAAATTAAGGCCCAGAAAGGTTTAAATGACTTTTCCAAGATCACATGGATAGTAAGTGGCAGAAGTGGGATTTAAGGGTATTCCAGTTGTGCAGAACAGCTTGTGCAAAGGCATGGAGGTAGGAGATGGGCTATTGTGGACCAGGAACAGCAAGAATGCTGGTGTGGCTGGATGGTGGAGTGTGTGAAAGGAGTGTTGTGTAATAAGGCTAGAAAGGTGGGCTGGAGCCTAATTGTGAAGGTTACTGCAGGAGGGGATGTTTTGCTGCTTATACAACCACATGGAGATATCCAATATACCAATGGGGAAGGTGGGAGTAAGAGGAAGAACCAAAGTGGAAGCCTTTTGAGGGGAAACATGGAGCCCTGTCTCTTTCCTCCTCTTCTCTTCTCCTTCTCCTCTTCTTATCCCTCCTCTCCTCCCATCATTTCTCCCCTCCTCTCCTCTCTCCTCTTCATCTCTCCTGATCTCTTCTTTTCTCTCCTCTATTCCCATCTTTTCTCCTCTCTTCTCCTCTCCTCTCCTCTCCTGTCTTCTCTCTTCTCTTCTCTTCTCTTCTCTTCTCTTCTCTTCTCTTCTCTTCTCTTCTCTTCTCTTCTCTTCTCTTCTCCGCATCTCTTCTTTTCTTTCCTCTCCTCCCATCTTCTCTCTCTCTTCTCCTCTCCTCTCCCCCCTCCCTTCTGTTAGCAGACACTGGCTTTTCTCCTTTGTGACAT